GATCGCGTTTTCGCCAGCGGAGGGGCGGGTGCCCCGGTTGTCGATTACGCCGTCGTCGCCGAGTGTGGCGGGATGGCTGGTGACGGAGGGGAAAGGTTTTCAGTCGATGTTGCCATTGGCGGCCGAGCCGGCGGAGTCGCAGTCGGAGGCGTCTGGTGCGAGTGAAGGCGGTGCTAAGAAGAAGCACAAGGGGTTGTGGCGCAAGTTGGTGTCGGCGGGCAAGACGAAGCATGCCTCGGACAGCGAGAGTTCGAAGAAGAAGTCGTCGTCCTGGGCGCCGAAGGGCTGGCTGGGCGGACGACGGAAGGGCAAGCACGCCGCGCCCGCGCTCGCGCGGACCAAGAGCGCAGTCACACCCGCTCGGGACGAACCCCGCCCGGCACGCGACGCGCGAGCGTCGGCGAAAGCCCCGGACCTGAAGTCCTACGCCGCGGCGCGGACTCGGACGAAGACTCCGCCAGCACGGGGCTCCCATCCGAGCGCCCGACACCGCCGAGCGTCTCCGTCGTGCCCGCGACCACGCCAGCGAGTCCTCGCACCACCGCGTCACCGAAATATCCTCCCTCTCGCCCCTCGAACTCAGCAATCGCACATTCTCCTCCCCTCTCTCCCTCCCCGTCTCCGCCGCTGCATCCTCCCCCCTCTCCGCCGGTGCATCCTCCGCCGCTGCCACCGCTGCCCTCTCCGCCGTTGCCTCCTCTCCCGCTGCGCAGTCGGCCGCCTCCGTCTCTGCCTCTTTGGCCTCTGGTTCTGGGCACGCCCCTTCCTTCCCCGCCGCTGCGTCCTCCTCGCCCGCCCTCCCTGCGCAATCTCCCGTGCAGATTGCGCCGCCGGTGTTCTCGGACTCGGAGCCGCATTGGGGGCCGCTGACTCGGTCGCTCGACTCCCCTCGACTGGGCTCCGACCCGTCGGGGGCCGCCTCGCGACCTTCCCCGACGTTGAGCGGGACGGCCTCCGCAACGAGCGCCCCCTCCGGCTCCCCCATGAGCGGGCCGACCTCGGTGATGAGTGGGCCGGCCTCCTCCTCGAAGGAGCCTTTTGCGCCGCGTGATTCGCCCCTGTCGCTGGAG